ATTTGGAAAGCTGAGTCAAAAACTGTGCATTCTGATCAAACCAAAGATAAAATAAAGATGGTTCTTAGAATACCAAACAGAAGAAAAGAGAAGCTGCTTTATTCATGCGTTGTATATCAATCAAAATGAACGAGTTTATCTTCTAGAAGGCAGAAGGTTCTTCAATACAATATGTATAATTGACTAGAGAAGAGTTAGTGCTCTAGCATCAGTAGAAATACTTTGAAGAGAATGAAAAATGAGAGAAGAATCATCACAGTGGAATAAATGGTAGGCTTGAGTGGAGAAAACGATGTGAAATCCTGACTTTTTTTGGTGAGTTCTCACTTAAGTGAATACACAATAAGCACAGAAGCAACAAGCAGATATATGCTGATTTGCTTACCAGAGCTCAGTAAGTATTTTCCACATTAAAATTTGAATTACTTTTTTTTTGTGTTCTAAATGTTAATAGTATGTCTGTGTGTGGCGTTCCTTAATCAGTATTCTCTTTCAGTCTACTGCTAGCATTTGTACATACATACTCCTGCACCTTTTGAAGTTGTTGGTAGAGCTTCTAAACTAGTTAGCAATTATTAGTGATGATCCCTTAGAGCTGTGATGAGTCATTTTAATTAGGATTTTATACATCAAATAATGCCACTTACAATGGTCAATTTATGTTGATATTATTATGTTGTCTACCAGTAAATGTATTTCAACTATTAGTCCATCTGAGAAACCAATGAAATTTTTTTTAACATTCAGTCATATCAATCCTTCTAGATAATCTGCTTGTTTCTCTACTAGTAACACAAATAAACAAGCATTTTTTCTATAAAGACATAATGGCAAGAGTTGGACATGTCTGTTCTGAAATCACCTGACTTTGGGGCTTTAAGTACGACCTTTAACATTGTTATTTGTGTTTAATTTTACATAGCATTGAAATGTTACCTTGCCCTAAGCTGTAGAAGACATTGCTGTTCTTCCCAGTAGCTGCCTTTTCTCACCCTGTCCTTGACTTCATAATCCTGAAATGCCAAGCTTGGAAATCTGCTTCTGGCAGAACAAGATCACTTCATCTTTGAGGTCATGTTCCAGGCTTTTGTTCAATCACCAGTTCTGTTTGGATTCATCTCCAGCGTGTCTACTTGAATATTCAAAAAATCAACAGCTAGACTAATTTGTTTTTTTTAAAGTCATGCAAAAGACTGATTTGCTTTGACAGGTGGATCAGAAACAGAATTGGAGCTATTTTATCTGGACCTAATTAAACAACCTTCATTACTGGCAGGTATGTGTTTGTGATGACTAGAAATTAGCTTGATTGGAATTAAAACTCCAAATATAAGGCATTGAAATTGCTTGTTTTTTAAAAATAAATGGTTTAAAAATATATCTGTGAAGAATATAATTAAATGTAGTAACTGCGTGTCTAAATTTTAAGTATCTCATCATGCCAAATTCAGTTTTGTATTTTATGTTAATGGCACTTATCATAGGCATTCATGAGGATATTGCTAACATTTATAAAATGGCTCCACATTTGTTCAGAACCGTGAGACTTTAATAAAACAGCAGTAGCAGACCTTTTTTTTTTTTTTTTTTTTTTTTTTTTACCTCTTGCAAGCACAGGATTTCTGCATTATTTTGTGTGGTGTATTTAGGAGTGAGTTTCAGTCATCTAAATGAGGCCAGCTTTAGGTAGTTGCAGTGCTTATGACCTCAAAGAGGGCTATCAAGTAATGCATGTGTGTGGGTTCTCTTTTACCTTCACAGAGCCCAATTATTTCTAACTGGTATGATAAACTCTATGCATGTCTGTAGAATTAAGGAAACTTTTTTCCCCCTGTCCACTGATGGTCTAGCCTGTGAAACAGACAGGTTTGAATGGCATGCTGAGGTTATTATATGCTGTGATAAGTTCTGTCTGTCCTAGTTGCCTTCTTCTTTGGTGAAATCATGTGTAACTTTTCAGTAGTCTTCCAACAGCTCTAATTGTTCACTCACTCCGAATATGCTTTGTGAGGTTTTCAAAAGCTACCATAAAAAAATAAATATGCTCAGATAGTTTGATTACATACTTTCCTATGTATGTTCTGATTATGTAGAGTTTAGGACAAAGTGTCTTAGAAGAGATTTTTCAGAGCAATTATAGCATTGCTCTGAATGAGTGCTAAACTATGCTCAGCTGGTTCAACAGTTTTTGGTATGGATATGATGTGGCTGTGAAGAGGAGAGCATCATGCCTGAGGACGTGAACTAGCTAAGAAATAACTATAGCTTTCTTTCACATAAAAATAATAGTGGAGTAACGTTGTCCATCTCAGTTTCATGAACCTAAAATGCTGCAGTGTTAAAAGTCCAAATCATATTTCAAAGAATTGGATTTTATATCTTTCCATATATGGAACGGGTGTGAAAAAAACCTCTATTAGAAAGGTGGCTACCTATGGGCAGGAAATAGGAGGTTATATTCTGGTTATTGTCAACGCTAATTTAAGAAGACTATTTTGCCTTTCAGTTTCTAGTGGTGGCAGACAAATAAGGACTATGTTTTTCTAGTTATACTCTTTAAACTATGTCGTGTGAGGGGATGCAGTAACATGCCAGTTACATTATCGGGAGATGTAATTTGCCCTTTCGAAGGACAAAAGTAGAAATATGCAAATCCTTAGGTCCCATTTAGCAAAGGAGAGGCATTAAACTTGAACAGAAAATCAAAGACTAACTCTATGAATCCATAGTGCAATTCGGCTGGATAAAATTAGGCCCATTTTACCAGTTTAGGATTTAATTGTTACCAATTTAACGAAGAATGTGCCTAAACTTTGATTTTCCAAAATGTGTCTAATTAAAAATCCCAGGATAAGAGTGCATACTAATGTAACAAATTGCATTTTAAATCAAACATGAAAGTAACATAGCAATAAACATTACCCTGATTTTTCAGTCAATGACAAAGGTGTCAGAATAGGCCCTAAAGAGGTGAAATTTATTTCTTTCTCAAGAAGAGCTTTTTACTTTTCTTAGATTAGTGTACATATGAGACAAACAAGAGCAGTCACTCGAGTCCTGCTACTACATTGTTTTATCTGTATAACTTCCTGTGTTTGAAACTAGGACAAAATTTCTTCATAATGCTACATGTATACGAGAGAGCCATGTATAAGTTGCAAAACTTTTCCCCTCAGAGGACTCTTGGAATGAGGAAGCTCAGCAATGGGCACTAGTGGCAATCATCTGTGGATGAAATATGTTTCTGTGAGTAAATTAGAAATACCAAGGGTAATGCACTAATACAGAAGCAAAATGAGAGCGAGTAAAACGGTTCTGCAGTTTGCTGATCTAGGCAGGAGCCTTGGATCTTGGTTTTGTGTCTGTTGCTGGATGATCTAGGGAAGATGCACTGCATGGTTCTATTTCCTATCAATATAAATAGGAATGACACCTGACAGCTTTTTTTTATTGTGCTTTGTGTTCCATGTGTATGTGCTAAATATTACTATTATTTTCACATACTGTTAGCTATTCTGCCAAATGTGGAACGAACGTTTTTCACTATTTACTGGAAACGTAAAGTGCTTACACATCCTTGCTGGGAAATGGAAAAGATATTTCACATATTTTGTTAGACAGATTTACATGCCTTGACCTTGTGCAACCAAAAGTATCTGTTTTCAAAATTCCTATGCATTGATTGCATTCTGCTACACAGCGGTCAGCGCCTGTGAGCCTTATTCAGTAAGGCTCTGTACTAGTCAGAGGAAATTTATTCAGGGAAGAGAAACAGAAAAAGAGTATATGTATCATTAGTTTTATCCCTCAGATAGTTCTTCTCCCATATGCATTCGGCTAACTGTACCAGGCCATGATCAATGCACAGACCACGAAAACAGATGAAACCAACTGAAAAAGCAACCTTGTGCCCCTTTAAGAAAAAGTGAAAACTTTTCCAATTGATTTACTGCTTCATAAATTAGCCTAGGGACAGCTTTAAATTATACTCTTATTATGCATACAGGATTCTACTCATCTAATAATTTTGCTATTCAATAAAAAAAAAAAAAAATTTTTTTTTTTGAATAGCAACCAAAAATGCCATAAAAATACACTATCCACATTCTGCAAAGACTGGAAATGTAAATGAATGGAGTGAAAATGTCCCCAGTATGATTTCTCTCTTGTTGACTTTCCAATTTAACTTTTCATGGGAAAAAAGATGTACTGGGAAATAGAATGCATGATCTACAAGTAGGAGTTTAGGGAAGTCATTATATACCCATTAGTTATGTGCATTTATTAAATCTGTCTGGTAAAATTAAGGGAGTTAAAATTTTATGTATTTATTTCTATCTGGTGTAACAAGTGTATCTCGTATGCCAGTCAGAATTTAAGGTAAATAAATTAACTGACCATATTAGAGAGCAGAATCCTTGAACTGGAAGGGATAAATCCACTGCAGAAACTCTCCTGAGATTCTGTAGTTATGGTCCCTGGGTGAGTTTGGGATACTATCCATCGCACTTAAAGATCGGAGACCTTTTTATGACTGTTTTTCAAAAACTACAGGAAATATAAACAACTGCTTCCTCAGCATTTTCGTTCAAGCCCTCGGAAATCCTTCGGGCTGTCTTGGAAAGGGGCACTGAATCTGCCTGCTGTAATAGTGTTTGGCCACTGCACAGTCTTAGGAGCCTTTACTAGGGCTATAAGACCAGTTATTCATCCCTTAAGGCCTGTAGTGGTAAGCATATTTATTTACTTAGATACTATCTTAATCAGAGCAAAGCCAGAAGAGCTCCTTTAGACTGCATATCTTGGCCTGAGTCTATCCAGTTAAGGGCCCTAGGGTTTTTAATAAGTACCCCAAACTCTCTTATATTAACCACTTCTCCCAGTTTAGACTTACTGAGATTCTTGGGAGTTGCCAGGATTTTCATCTTAAATTTTTACTGTTTAAAAAAGGGATACAAACAGTATCAGTAATAGATGTTTATTTTATCCCTTTCCCATAGGAAAGAGGACTGGGGACTGCTGCTAATACTGCTCCTTGCTTTCTGTGTGCCTGCTTTCTATTATAGTAGCATCCAAATGTGATTAATAAGGACAGCAAAAGGGAAAGCAATGGGTGAGTAAATATTTGCTTGTCACTGACCACCTGGTTCACTCTGGCATGGCAGAATTTAAACTCAGTAGGATTTGAACTAAATTTTCTTATGAAAGATCTTAAGTGTACATGCTTCAGTATTGCTTGGTCATCTGTCCAAAGATTTGATCAAAGAGTGAATGACTCAGAGTCTGGAAAGAAATCAGCAAGGTTACATGTGGCACAAGTTCTATCAGATGCTGCCACTTTTGTTGCTTCTCCTTGCAGGTGAGAAAGAGTACCTTAATGAAAGTGGCCACAGTGATGGAGGCTAATGTTGTAACAGCACGGAACTGTTGCCAAAGCTGGAAACATTCCCCAGATGTTTTGCATGTTCCAGCTGGAATAAAAGGTTTATAGCCTTTCTGGCATGTGTTATCAGCAGCAACACGGCTCTGGTGCAAGAAACTAAAGATTCCTGTGGAAACTGGCAAACTCATCTGTCTGAGCCTCCTGTAAATAAGCTAGTTATAGTAAAGTGCTCTTGCTGACTGCCCTTCATGGGCAACAGTTACATTCCTACAAGAACTGAGCAAAGGACAAAGACCAAACCATTCTATAAAAGAATCTTTGAAAGATCGAGATTTGGAAAGAATCTAAATTTTAATGGTGACAATCAGAGCAATTAGACAGAGTTTATAGGAATAGTAGGTTAAGATTCTCCCCCATTTCCGTAAGTGATAGTCCCAGTGCATTATTTGTGTTTTGTTGCTGTTGTTGTTTTTAAGCTCTCTGGAAAAGAAGATGGAAAATGATAGACAAATGTTTGTTGCTACCCTTATTCCTGTACACTCTTCCCTTCACTTTTGTGTATTTCAAGTTGATTGACTAAGTCAGAAAATTTCTGAGGAAAGTGTAAGTCCTGGCTTGTTTGTATTTCACTTGTAAGTTTTCCCAATCTTTTCCTTCTAATTTTCTTCAGCTTCAGTGTGCTTCTGGGTATCACTACCTTTGCTTGGGTTGGCCAGTCCGGTAATGTAGCTGATAGAGTTGCTCTTGTTATGTGGAATATGTCTTGCTGTTGTTTTAGTTGCCTTTGTGACCTTGTATGTTCTAAAGTTAGGGCCTCACTCTCCAAGTGATCTCAAGTGTTTGCTGAAGAGAGGAAGTTTTTCCTGCTGGCAATCCTGCTTTGATGTTACTCTTTGAGGTCCTGAATGCCTTCTGTGTGGGAATGGTTTGAAAGATGTGGGAGAGTCTCTGTGAAATAAGGAATGCTTGAATTTTTAGGGGTTGTTCTGGCTGCCAGCCCTTAGACATCCTACTTTTTTTTTTTTTCTTTTTCCAAAGAACGTTTAAGCAGTTTTAATAAAGTAGAACAGCCTCAGTGAGAAATACTGAGAAAGACTCTGAAGTTGTTATATTTCCTAGGAGAAGAGAGACCTAAACTCAGACATTGCTCCAAATAAGACCAGGGAGATTTCCTAGAACATTGCAACAGTGGCCAGATTTACTAGGCTGAGTAGCAACAACATGGTGCTTTCTATTTGGGGTTGTGAGTTCTTTATGGACAACTACCTGAGGAACTCTACTGAGATGATGGATAAGGGTCTGATATTTGAGGACTGTGAGGTCTAAGTTGTGATGGTTGGAAAATCTGCCTGTGTAGACATAACGTTACTAAACTAACAAGTAACCTCTTTCCCTTCATTTTCTGCAACTATAGCACAGAATTCTCTTTTCTGAAACATATTCAATCAAAATGATGGTGCTGAATGATGAACAAGTCCACCTCCACCACCCTGCTGCATGTAGTTAATTTGCATCCCAAATACCTTACTAGTTTACTGGTAATTGGTAGATGGGTAATCTACCTATTAATTTCTTCATTTCTAGCCAGTCTCTAGTTAATAATCAATAGTCCTCTTTTCTTCTGAGGTAATGGCCTTGACATCTTGGCCTTTGTGCAGTGTTAAAAAAACACTGATCATTATCATTATCATATGCCCTTGATATACTGTATAAGGGTGAGCATATCAGTCATACTGTACAGGAACACCTAATAAGCCTGGAATAATAATTGAGATTGGCCAAAGAAGTATACATGGTTTCCTGGTCAAAGACGTGTGTGGGGTAATTAATCAAATGTTGGATATTAGCAGAAGTGCTGCTCCAAAAGTAATGCCTCCTGTTTTATTACGTTGGCCCACAGTGTCAGAGCTGAGTGTTGGTGGTACAGCACATGTATGGTGTCTGATATGGAAGTGCATACGAGGCAATGTCACTGAAATGCTACATGCTGAAAAAATGGCACCCGTTGAATTTTATCGCTGCTTGCTGAATGTTTATGGGGACTCAACAGTGGCTGTGAGCATGAGGCAGTGAGTGGTGCATTTCAGTACAGGCGACAGCGACAGTGGGTCACCTCCACTACTGCAGACTTTTACAAACATGGCATACAGGCTCTTGTTCATGACTAGTGAAAATTCATATCTGATGATGCTGATAAGTATGTTGAAAAATAGTGCTTTGTGGCTGAGAATTTGCACCATTAAACAGTGTTCTTTTGCTCTTTGTATCTGCTGTAGTTTCTATGGAAATAAATAGGAGGCATTAGTTTCAGACCTAAGTACCATCTCCAAATCTAGATTGAATACAATCTCCACAAAGTATATGGATAATATGTGAAAGTTCTGTGTAAGCATTCTGTATCAAAGAACCAGGTTAGAGGCAGGGCTTTGTTTATCTTCTTAATGTAGTGAACGTTATGGAAAACTAGATATTCCTCACTGTAGCTTGATACCCTGAGTAATGACTTCTCCTTTTGAGATTACAGCGAACCCATCGCAGTTTTAGTGTGAGAGTGAGTTTGAATTACACGTGAACTATATATAGTAACTCAGTTTCCATTTTTTGTTTCTACTATTTTCTGTTAGTCACAGTCTTTTGAGTCTACTATTTTCCACAGTCAGTAGAGTTCAAAACTTCTATCTGTTGCAGTAGCTTCTTTTTTTTTTTTCCTGTGAGAAATCAAAATATTAATTGTGTCTTCCTGGTCTCTTTAAGTAGTCTTGAGGACCATTTTTCATCAATGACATACAGACCAGAGCATGGTCTATATTTGGATCTTTTGACTAAGGTACAGTGTCTAATTTCAAAAATAATGGCACTGTAGATCTCATTTTACTGTTCTTCCATAATAATAAGATCTTTATCTGCTTCCAGAATTTATACTCTGCTATTAAATAAGGAAAATCTTTTGTACAGTAGGTGTAAAATTACATCACTCTCAAGACATGATTTAAAAAAGAAAAAAATCAGTTGTCTTACGCTTAGATTGAAAATTAGAAATGAGCTACACTTAAAATTGTATTGCAAAATGCTGGTATCCACAAGCAAGTCTCCCACACCAGCCTGCAGAAACCTAACTTTGTCTATGTCACAGACTTAGTTATGGTTGATATTTTTGTGCTTTGAATATCAATTTCAAGAACAAGGTATGTAGAAATAGCATTTAAAAAGACTTGTGAATTCTGTTAAGTAGATTATGGGAATTCATGCCTTTGTTTTGGAACAATATCCAAGCACGATATTTTGTACCTGTAGGTACATAAGCTGATATTCGTGGAGCTGGAAGAATTTTAACCCTTTTTTTTCTATTTGAGAATTGATAGATACCTTTTATAGTTATACCCACCCGCATTACATGAGCTCATGTTCTCTACCCCAAGATCAAGAGCCAATTTATTCAAGAAACAAGAGTGTGCATAATACATCTGAGTTCCTCTGTTGCAGTGTGACCTCTGGACTGTGTCCGGAGTGGATGAGACGTGAGTGGGGAGCTCATGGCTGCCTGGTCAGGTCAGTGGGTGCCTGGTGATTGAAATGTGCACGTGCTTCACAGAATCCCTAAACCTGAGTATAGCTTTTTAAATTTATGTTCTGTAATTTGTGTATGTATTTAAAGCACAGCTTACTGTTTAAAAATACTGAACCAATTTTTATTGACTATGCATAATACTATCTTAAATGTGGGCTGAGTTATCTGCTTATGGCCTGCTTTTCTCATTTGTGTGGCACTCCTCTGCAGAAATGACTTACAATAGCTTCCTGCTCCTTTCCTGATTGTCATAAGAGGGACGGATTCTTGTCATTAGATTATTTTAAAACTCAAAAATATTCCATTTAATGCTTAAGCATTTTCTACAAGAATTTTGTAAAGTCTGAACACATGGAAAGTGTTTAATGTTAAAATATAAGACAACTGAGCCTCTTTCTTCAAACAACATTTTGGCTTTCATAAGGAAATAAATAATGAGATTCTTAGCACTTGGTTTTGAGTCTCCTCAGTGCTATTTATAAGGGGACCAAGAGCAGCTATTGTTATCTTTAGAAATATTCGGCACTGCGTGGCCTTGATACACATTTGTGTCCGTTCAAAGAACGTCTAGTGAACAAAGGAATGGGTCTCAGGGCATGAATGTTATCCTGAAGCAACTAAAAGATACAAGCCTTGTCACTTCTTGTCTGATTTTCATTAAGAAAATCATGTGGTTTAGCTTTAGGGGGGTAGTGATGACTCAACCATGTGACTAAAGGCAGGTGGCCATCTTAAAGCAGTTCTTATCCCTACTAAAAATAAGAACAAAAAGAGTGGGATGCGGGGTTTTTGGCTCCATAAAATGTTTGCTCACTGGCCTGCCATGAGATAAATATTTTTACAGATACATTATTTACTACAAGGGAAGCTTTTCCCTGAGAGCACAGATAAAGGCACTTGCTGTGGGAGCTTTATGGGCACTGCAGGCCCAACTGTCATTCCTTGGGTACTTCCTGTCAGTCTGACTAAACTCTGTCATCCTTCAACCCAGTTTAAATTAACAGGTAATTTGTAAATGTCACTTCAGGTTAGGCCGCTCATTTTGTTTCTACTCTACCAATGCAAAGTCTAGGACTAATTTTTCTTGTCTTCTTTTAATAGGATTTTCATTTATAAATAGAATTATGTTCTGAAAATAAATTACAGTAAGTGATGCACAGAA